TGTACACGTAAGGACTTGGCACCTTTTCACGTTTAGGTGACGATATATGTATGGATGTTCATATTGTATATTGACAATAATAAGTGTATACATTGGCACTTACGAATCAGGTATATTTATATGTTTGGGGTCGTCTTTATATTCGTGTAAACAAGGTTGCTAAAATACTTGGAAATACATATTTTCTATTTTTCGCAATTTTTCTGAATTTTTCGCAATTTATCGCGGAACATACCAAAATCCAATAAAGCCTACCAAACCAAATGGAAAAAACTACCAGTAGGAAATGCCTATGTGTGGCAACACAGGCATATTTACCAGACATACTTTCGGTCGCACTGTTCTAATCCAAGCATACTATCTTACCAATACTAGTTATAATATAAATGAGTCGGTACCCTGCAGGAAAACCGCGGAATAATGAAATGAATAATGAATTTCTAGTTCCGTACTAGATCTTTGTCGCCAAAAACGAACCAATCCGTTAGTAACTAGATCCCCACCAATCCAAAATCAGCGAAATTTGGTACTTTTAAAAAACCCTATTTTATTTCCCTTTTTTCGTTAGAAATCTACATATATCTAAGGTGACGAATTTAGAACTGGTTCGGACCTATAGAAAAAGGAATGCAGAACGAACTAGATATCATCTGTCGAATTTAGAACTCGTTCGGAATATCGAAAGAGGGATGCAACGGGGGGAAGGGGCTTGTTCCCTTTAAATAGATATGTGTTTGGCGGCTTTTTCGTTCAAATATGCTTTCAGTATGCACTTCGCAGATACTTTTTCATAGTTTAATAATACAAAACTAAAATTTTTGCTAATATTTTAACATCTTGGGACCTTCTGGAATTTAACCAATAACAGCAAGCACCTGCACCCTGCCCACCTAGCATCGAACGAAAGGGTTTTAGGAAAGATTTATTTAAAATATTTTTTAAAGGGAAGATCATCAACTTTGGTCGACGCCAAATTGAAGGCAATTTTGGACGAAGACCCTAGACGATTGGAAGCCGTTGGTATGGTCCACATAGTTGGAAAATGGGTGCCTCACAAACTCAAAGCAAGAGATATCGAACAGCGTGTCACTGTTTACCAAATACTCCTTGAACTGTAGAAACTTAAATCGTTTTTGCACTGTTTGGTCACCAACCAATCCAAACCGCCTATGTTAAGCAAAGCGAACTCGGGCCATCGACGCTTCAACCAAATATTCGTGACAGCAAGATTATGTTCTGCATTTGGTGGCACCAGATGGGAATCTTGTATCATAAGCTTCTGAAAAGTGGTCTGGGCGCCGCGAAAAAACGGCCGTAATGAGCAATCAGACATTATTGATCTTCCACCTTGACAATGCGGCCAAGCACAAGTGGTCAAAACTTATCTCGATGGTAGCGAATGGGTAGTCCTGACCAACCTGTCTTATAGTCCAGATCTTGCACCATTAGACTACCGTTTTTACGGTCGATACAGAACGTCCATGCGGAGGCACGTCTCTTTAGTTCGCAATTCGCTTGATTTCTTCCATGCATTGCCAGTAATGTGGAAAAAAGTCATAAATATTTAGTTAGTGATCGGCTTCAATAATATACATTGTACCTACCAATTAAAAACTTACTTAATTATGCGCTTATCTATTAGCTTATTATCTATTTAAATAAATAAATATGTATGTAAATAAAATAATACTAATCCACTACTTTCTTTCTCTTTCTTCCTATGCAGAAAATCGTCGTGAAAACAGCCACGCTCAACTTGGCAGCAATCTTATCTAAAGTCTTAAAGTTTTCAACGGTTTTCCCCAGATATTCACAATTATTTTCAACTTACTGCATGGCAGAACTATGAAGAAAATATAAATGCAAATGGCAATAGTCTTTGTTGCACAAAAATTTATAAAACTTATCTCTGCTAATCTAAGCTAAATTAAAAAAAAAAAAAAAACATTACAGTTACAAATGTTAAATGCGAAACAAACGCCGCCGCGGGGATGAGAGCAATAAGAAACAACACCAATCATTGATTAGTAAAACTAGAAGATAGACAACAACAACAACAAAAAAATCAAAAACAAATAAAACTTTTCTTATCACATTGTGCTCATGTTTCTTAGTAAAAAAACAAAAACAAAAAATGAAATAAATAACTAGATAAATCTAAATGTAAGATTAGTTGTTAGAAGCCGGTTGTTGCTGGCTTGCAGTCAACTTAAGATACTATAAATTAAATTTAAAACAAATACAAATTAGAGGTAAGTTAAAACAAATGAAAAACACGAAACTGAAAATCAAATTGCTGCTCCTGCTAAAAGTATTTAGTTAAAAAAAAAAGCAGTCAACTGTTCAACAAAATATGGCAAACAATTCT